CCCGCCACTGGCTGGCGGATGCCCTTGCCGGACTGCCTCTCTGCGGCAGCGGCATTTTTCCTAATGAGTTCAATTAGCAACTACAATTAACAAAAGTAAATTATGTCATATATGATACATTGCTTTAGTAAGCAACATCTTCATAATGTCTCTTTCCCACCCTTTTTTTTGATGTTTCATTGATGGGCCAAATACCTTCAGTGTTCCAGTCTGCTGCATCTCTCGCATAACCATTGTTATGTCCAAGAATTTGTTGTGGTCTCTACTTAGGTTATGTGCTAAGAGTTGTTGCAGAGTAGTTTAAACATGCTAGTTGGTGAGTTTCAGTTTAAAATAGGTTGTTAGGCTGTTGTCTAAGTTTGTTTTAAGTACAAATGGGTGTTTTGGTCTTTGTGAAGGCACTGTGGTTATGATTCATCATAAATGCTATTGAAACATGTATTGATCTATGGTGTTTTAACATTGTCATGGTTGCATCTATTGCTGTCAGAATTTGGTTTTTCATGCTAAAAACTTGTTTGTATTTGTTTTGATAAGTAGTAACTTTCATTAAAAACAATATAAATAATTAGAGTTTGATGTTTGCATTGTAATGACTAAACTGTTATTATCATGAGATTTGTGCATTGACTGTTATCGTTAGCTTTCTACACATGATTAGATCTGTTATGTGCCTCAGAGTTGCTAATCCATGAGGACAAGTTTCTTAGACAGTTAAGGTGAGACTAGGTTGTAGTATTTGGTAGGATTTTCTGTATGTGTTTTTCTTGTGTGAAATTATTGCAGAGAGAGTCATCATGTATGTTTGCTTGAACTTTGATAGAGTTTCCTGTTGGTGACAGAAAACACCATTACCATCAGTGGCCACTCCAAATCTAAATAGTCTGTCTTTGGTTGGTAATCTTCCATGCATCACTAGCCACAAGATGAACCTTAATCTTCTATGCATCATTAATTATTGAAATGTTGTACTAATTCATGCAGGCACAATAACTCTTGTATAACTCATGCAGGCACAATAAGAATCCTATATTTAGAAATGACTCCTTTTTCTTTTTTACATACCACTTTTAAGGAAAAAGTTGGAGATGATGTCGAGAGGTTAGATGGAGAGACCGTTTTTAAATTATGGACACATTCTGTTGGGGGTCGTAGTCGTGGTCGGGTATATGGAACAGCGGATTTATCTATCAATCTGAAGCATGGATCTACATCCTTTATCCAACAACCTCAAAATTCTCGCGGATCTATGTTTGGGACATCCTTTGAATCAGAGAGAGCATCTAGAATTAGAGCTGAACAATTGGCTGCAGCTACGTCAGCTCGACTCGAAGAGGCTACCAAAGCTATTCAGGTGTCAAATGAGATTGCTCGGAAGGCAAACAAACAATATCAAGCGTCTAACGAGTTTGCTAAGAAGATGGAGTCTGAACTGAATGCTTTGAAGGCATTTATCATGCAGAAGCTTGACCCTACAAATGGTCAATCTGCTAGTGTTGTCATTCGATCGTCAAATCCTCACTATGATGATGATTTAGATGACCAATTATTAAGTGAAGATTGATCATGCAGTGTTAGTAGAAGTAGTCTTGGATGTAAATTTTTTTGGACATGACTTTCAATGTATTCCGAGTTTTTGGGGTTGTTTTTGTTGTAGCTATGACTACTTCTTTTGTTGTTGTTTCAATCTATGTAATATTTTGATAACTCTTACTTCATATGTGTTGTATGTTTTGATAAATTAATTGAAGGAGAACAGGACATGACATAATTGTGATTATTGGAAAACATGGTCAACATATATAGATTATACAATTGGAAAGCAGGCATAATTTTGTTGACTTTTACAATTTGACTTTAGCCTCGGTTAGGCCAAAGCTAAATATTTTGTTGACTTATAAAGTTTGAACTTAGCCTCGAAAAAGTCGAGGCAAAATGTTCCTTTAGCCTCGACCAGGACCAAGGCTAAATATTATGTGAGCTTATGGAGTTTGACTTTAGCCTCGGTCAGGCCCAGGCTATTTTTTGTTTTTTGACACGGCTTCACCGAGGCTAAAGTAGACACAGCTAAACCGAGGCTAAATTAGACACAGCTAGACCGAGGCTACTGTAGACACGACTCCTCTTGGCCGAGGCTAAATGTCAGCTTTGATCGTTTTAGCCTATCCCCGACACCGACGCTACGCCGAGGCTAATTGGCTAGTAGCGGCGGTTTTTTGCCTTATAGTGTCGGAAAATGGACGAGGCTAAATACAGCATTTCTAGTAGTGCCATTTTCACAATAAATCTTTTGAGATAAAGAATTGGGTACTACCCACAAATGGGTTACTACTAGAGGACTTATTTCACCTTTAAAAATAACATTCACAAAACAAATGTGACATCTTGCCTTGATGGCAAAAACTAATCTTTTCAAAAAGGACATGTTACGTCCGTTCAATCACAAACAGGTAACACCTAAGATTCCACAAGAGAGCTGCAATACACCTAACTGTTAGAATGCGTATGTTAGCATCGCCCATAAAAAACACCAACAAACCATAGTTTGAACTACGAATGCTCTGATTCTTTACTTCTTTTAAGTGAAGATACATAGGCATAACGAACCCAATCTTTGGTGAGCATATTTCATTCTATTTATTAGTAGTCCTCTAAACTACGCTAACTCTGACTTTCTCATATCTGTTGAGAATATGTAGGCATATGACCGCGAGGTCCTACCGAGTCTTTTCCTTTCCACCTTCCCTTTTTTTCTCTCTCTATTTTTATTTTATACCCCTTTATCTGTCTCCTAGAACACAATTTATAGCAACATCCTTTAGCAAATGTTTTCACACGTAGACAAGCAAATAATTCTCATCGAGTACAGCAGATGTGAGGGGTGCTAATACCTTCCCTTCACATAACCGAATTCCGAACCCTTTCTCTTGGTTGCGAGACCATCTTATCTATTTTCTTTTATGGGGATTTCTCGATGTTTTCCCTTCCCCTTTTGGGATAAATAAAGTTCGATGGAAAATATTCTGTCTTTTCTCCTTCGCCTCTTCGTCGTTTCATTTTTTCAAGAAGCGATACATGATGTATCATTGGAGACTTTAATAACTTGTTATCGCAAGAAGACAGTCTGGGTATTAACCTTCACCCCAACTGGCTATACGCATGCTTTTGTAATGTTGTCGAAGAATGTAATTTAACAGATATCAAATTAGAGGGCCACTTTTTTACGTGGTAAAGAGCAGAGGTACTGAACAAATGATAGATGAAAGACTTGATATAATGTTATCTAACATAGAAGGAATTACATGTTTCCCTGATGACAGACTGTAAAGCTTATCATAAGAAATAAATGTTTTAAAGAGAGACAAACTATTTTAATTCAAAGTTTGTACTTTTCTCATGAATTTTTTGTTGAACCTACCAAGGATGATCAATATGTTGTTTTCTAAGTATTGGTCAATTATGAGACAAAGGTAATGATGTATTTTAATTCAAAGTATAAAACATAACATAATGATAATAATAAAATTATTTATATTTATTTAAAAAGGTCATCCTGTTAGGCTTAAAATGCTTTTTTCATGGCCTGAGCCCTAGCCTTTTTAATTAAATAGCCTTATAAAAAAGTTTTGGCTTTTTCAATTTAATAAAAAAATCTTGGCCTGACCTGGACCTATGTAGGCTAGGCTGTAGGCTCCTGTTATCGGTATGCCCTATTTCCACCTCTAATTCTAAATATAAGAATCTTATAACAGTATATAGAGTTTACTTTAGGGCCATTGAGGATATTTGAGAGATTGATTATGTTGTATTCAAAATGTCTTTATTTAGATGCAAATGAATTGACAATAACACTAGTGTACAAATTGAGGAATAAGGATTCACACAGGTTAACCTTTGCAAGATAACATATATAAACAAATCATTTATCATGACATCCTAAGGAAAAACAAGTGTTTTATGGCATTGATCCTTCTGGCAATAATGTTCAATTATTCTTTAAGGAAAACACATTTCTCATAGTGATGAAAATTAAAATTTATTTATTGGTATTTCTTAGACTCTTTATTTAGCAACATATGTGCCTACCTCAAATAAAGAGATTGATACATGATATCCATTATGATCATGAAGAAAGTAAATGAGAAATTTAACACGCAAGTATTATTTCAAATTATAGGTGTTTCAAGACAAAACATCAAAAGACATTCAGTTACGTTGTGCATCTTGCTTTCTTTAGAATAATTAATTAAATGCACGCTAATTTTGTATGTTAGTTGTTTTTCTTTTTGATTTAAAGATGTATAAAATGGTTGACATTTTAATGTCATTTAAGTTTTGATGAAATAATATACAGTTTTGGTTCATAATATTTGTCTTTTTAATTTTGATTCACAAACGTTTTGTTGTTGTATTTTTGTATATCTATTTTTAAAAACAAAAATACAGTTTAGACTGAGATTTAGTAGAAAAAACTAAAACCTCTAATTTTTGTTTGTTTACAAATGATATTCTTAGAAGAAATTGGCTCTCCTAAAAGTGTCTCAACTCAAAAAATCCATTCAAAAAAGGTTTCCATCAAAGAATACTTTTTGTTTAATGAACCCATGAATGAAATAGTTCTTCGTAAGAAAAGTAGCTAGGTGTCTCATGTCTCCATTCAGCTAAATTTCAAGGATTCTTTCATTAAATTTTTGTTTTTTTGTATCATTTTTTTTACGGCCAATCAAATATTGAATTAAAAAAGGAGAAATGGCAGCATCAAAAGGAAAGGGGAGGATCCATGCTAATAAAGGGTTTGGATGCTCTAACAAAAATTGACAATCCATTTGATTAATAAATCATGACAACAAGACAAATGCAAGTGACAAATAACAAAGTCTAAAAAATGAAAGATATACTTTAAAGATCCTTCAACAAAATTCCTTTATAATGAAATAATTAGTTTCAGAGTCTGGAAGGATTAACAACCAAATATTCATTAGGGGATGATCGTGTGAAACCTAAAGGTTCCGACTTCGAAAAAGTTCGTTATAAAAGTTTGGATATGTATACTTAAATGGCAGCCGCAAATATTTAATTTCCTCAAAGCACCTTGTCTTCAAACTTTGACTCAAATCAAAAATATCACAAGTTATAATGTCAAGAGACTCGAGAAGAGGGCACTCATCAATAATTGCAAGCAATCCAACGTTAGTAAACGTATATCCTTCAATATCAAGATGGCATAATCCAGACATTGTTTCTGCAATAACAAATGCCACATTGTCATCACACTCGTTAGCTTTAAATACCATTTTTGAAAATTTGAGGGATTTCAAAAGAGGACAAGATCTTCCAATAGCTTCAAGAGAATCGATGGATATGTTGGTGTATGAAATGTCAAGCTTCTCTAATCGGGGAAGCCTTCTCACTGTATCACCGAATTTTTTATCTGAAATTTCTCGACAAAAAACTAACCTCATGTATTGAAGATTATTCGCACTGAAAAATATAAATCAAACATCAAAAACATTAAAACAAAAATTTGGACAAAAAACAAAGTAGAAGTTTTGACATTAGTAATTACTTGTTAGCCATGCATTCAAGAAGATCATCAGTGGCAAAAGAGTTAACGTCAATGTCTTCCAAATGACCACAACTTCGTTCAATAGCAATGCAACAAATTTTTACCAAATCCAAATTATAGTTAGGGTAGGGTGGCATCCATAAACTGGTCATGTGAATAGTGCGCCACATGATAGGATCTTTGCATATGTTCCACCATAGAGAGCACACTTCACACAGACTTGTCACAATTTCATAGGTTCCAACCCTCCGCAGGATATTTGCGGTGATGTCTCTAGGAAGATCGAGCCAATTTGGAAACATTGCAATCTCAGTTTCTGCTTCATTTGCAGTGATGGAACGTGAAGCCATCAGACATTTAAAGAAACAGTTGTATAAATTGATTAACCAACAAATAACCTTTTATAAACATCGACAAAGAAAACTAAACGTTTTTAAAGGGAAGATTATACTGTGGTTTCCAACAAATAAACTTTGGAAAATGATTATTGTCACGCGAAACTTAAACTTCAAGACTAAGAATAAAATTTGTTCTGTTTCCAAAAAATACAATGTTTTATCGGTTCATTATTACCATCATTACCTACCTATATAAATATAACCAATCAAACGCTTAAGATACTCGCTTGTTATATGCATATCCAAAATATTTTAGATAAAAGTATTACCTTTTTGTCACTATTTGAAAAAAATAAGTTTAATAAAACTGTATTTTCTAAATAATTTAATTGACAAGGGTGCCTTATTTTCACCACACGTCCGTCCACTCAAGTGGTGAGTTAATACTGGTTCATTTTTGATGTAGGTGTTCGCCCACTCTGAGCTAATGCAGGTTCATTTTTGATGTAGGTGCTCGCCCACTCAAGTGAGGAGCACGTGTTGGTTTTGTTTTTATTTTTATTTTTCATATTTATATTATGTTTAATTAATTAAAAAAATTATTTTAAATATTAAAAACTTATTATATTAATTTAATAAATATAAACAAATTAGAATTATTATAAAAATATTATATATCATGTTATTTTATATAATTTAATTTAATTATGATATTAATATTAAATAATTATTATATATCTGTTCAATTATGATATTTAATTCAATCATAAATAATTATTATAACAATATTATATATCATGTTATTATATTAATGTTATTATATAATATTTTATAGAATGAAAAAAAAATGAATGATATAATAATTTAATTTTTTTTTTCTTTTATGTATTTTAAAGAATGATTGATGTTCGTCCAAGGAGTTGTATAGTTTTTAAATACTCTCGGCCATTGAAAAACCGAGCTCAAACACAATTTTTTTTTTTATAAATAGAGATATTGCGCATAAGCACAAATCATTCGTGTCCAGTTTTTTGTGTTTTAAAAATGTCTGTCCGAGCTCTTGTTTTTTATGGACAAGAAAAAAAATTAGTGTTTACCTAGATCAGCAATGGAATTTCAGAACCGTGGTTGCAACAATTAACACGGTGTTTCGACAGTTGGGTGGTCGTCGCATAACGGTGAGAAAAATGGAGTATTGTTGTCCGTATATAGCGTTGACTGATGAAAGCCCGGATGGTACGTATATGTATTACTTGGATCATATAGAAAATGATGAAGATGTCCAATGTATATTTTCAACACATAGTGGCGAAGTTAACAGAGGAGTTGAAAATCCACTTGTGTTGGTTGCTGTTGTTGATTAGCGTGTATGTTAACTTCTTGAGTTTTATTTTTAAGTTTATGGTTGTAATCTGCTAGTATTGTTGTAATCTAAAATTTGTCTTGAATTACAAATAAATGTTGGATCACATAGAAATAAAGTGCGAGCAAAACATTTTCCAATCAAGTTTCTTGTAAAATAAATAAAATTATCCAGACGGTCGGTTTGACGGGCCGACAACATTTGGACATTTTCTACGCATATGGCCTATTTCTCAACAAATCCCACACATTCTCTTTTCTTTTTCAGCGTCGTCTATTTCAGTTCTAATCCTACTACTGGTTGGACGTCCTTTTTTATTTCTTCTCACGGAATCGTCGTGACATAAAGTAAAACCTTCATATTTTGGCCAGTTCTCCTCATGCGGTAGTCCCAGGAAGTTTTCGTTGTAGACTTTAAATACGTTAAAAACTGTGAAAAACTCTGGAATGTGAATGGTGTAGTCCTGTCGTATACTAGAACATGTTGCGATCGCATGGGAGAGATAAATGAAATGCTTAAAATTTAAATTATAATAATATAAAAGTTAAAAATGAGTTATTAATAAAATAATGACACAAATGAAAAGAAAAACATAAGCTAAAAGCTATAAGCTTCAAAGCTTTTAATAGTTAAAAAAATTTAGTAAAAAAATATAATATAATAATTAAAAGAAAATTTTCAAACAAAACTTTTATAAGTTGAAAAACTAAAAGTTATAAACTAAAAAAAAATATTTGTTTTATCTTACAGAAGAGATTCTTAGAAGAAATTGGCTCTCCTAAAAGTGTCTCAATTCAAAATATCTAATCCAAAAAGGGTTTCCATCAAAGAATAGTTTTTGATTAATGCACCAGTGAATGAACTAGGTCTTTGTAAGAAAAGTAGCTAGCTAAATCTCAAGGATTCTTTCATTAAATTTTTGTTTATTTTTATTTTTATTTTCCTTACGGCCAATCAAGCATTGAATTAAAAAAGGAGAAATGGCAGCATCAAAAGGAAAGGAGAGGATCAATGCACTAATAATGGATTTGGATGCTCTAACAAAAATTGACAATCCATTTGATTAATAAATCATGACAACAAACAAATGCAAGTGACAAATAACAACGTTTAAAAAATGAAAGATATACTTCAAACACCCTTCAACAAAATTCCTTTATAATAAAATAATTAGCTTCTAAGTCTGGAAGGATCAACAACCAAATTTTCACTCAGGGATGATCCGATGAAACCTAAAGGACCCACCCGACTTTAAAAATATCACTATAGAAGTTTTAATATGTATACTTAATTGGCAGCCGCAAATATTTAATTTCCTCAAAGCACCTTGTCTTCAAACATCGACTCAAATCAAGAATATCACATGCTATAATGTCAAGAGACTCAAGAAGAGGGCATCCATCAATAATTGCAAGCAATCCATCATTAGTAAACCTATATCCTTCAATATCAAGATGGCATAATCCAGACATTGTTTCTGCAATAACAAACGCCACATCGTCATCACACTCGTTAACCATAAATATCATTCTTGAAAATTTGAGGGATTTCAAGAGAGGACAAGATCTTCCAATAGCTTCAAGAGAATCGATGGATACATTGGTGTGTGAAATGTCAAGCTTCTCTAATCGGGGAAGCCTTCTCACTGTATCACCGAATCTTTTATCTGAAATTTTTCGACAAAAAAATAACCTCATGTATTGAAGATTATTCGCACTGAAAAATATAAATCAAACATCAAAAACATTAAAACAAAAATTTGGACAAAACACAAAGTAGAAGTTTTGACATTAGTAATTACTTGTTAGCTATGCATTCAAGAAGATCATCAGTGGCAAAAGAGTTAACGTCAATGTCTTCCAAATGACCACAGCTTCGTTCAATAGCAATGCAACAAATTTTTACCAAATCCAAATTATAGTTAGGGTAGGGTGGCATCCATAAACTGGTCATGTGAATAGTGCGCCACATGATAGGATCTTTGCATATGTTCCACCATAGAGGACACACTTCACACACACTTGTCACAATTTCATATGTTCCAACCCTCCGCAGGATATTTGTGGTGATGTCTCTAGGAAGATCGAGCCAATTTGGAAACATTGCAATCTCAGTTTCTGCTTCATTTGCAGTGATGGATCGTGAAGCCATCAGACATTTAAAGAAACAGTTGTATAAATTGATTAACCAACAAATAACCTTTTATAAACATCAACAAAGAAAACTAAACGTTTTTAAAGGGAAGAATATACTGTAGTTTTCAACAAATAAACTTTGGAAAATGATTATTGTCACGTGAAACTTAAACTTCAAGACTAAGAATAAAATTTGTTCTGTTTCCAAAAGATACAATGTTCTATCGATTCATTATTACCCATCATTACCTACCTATATAAATATAACCAATCAAACGCTTAAGATACTCGGTCGTTATATGCATATCAAAAATATTTTAGATAAAAATATTACTTTTCTGGTCACTAATTGAAAAAAAATAAGTAAGTTTAATAAAACTGTATTTTCTAGATTTTATGTAAAGCACTTTTTATTTCAACGTGGAAAAAAAATTGATGATGTACCGTTGAAAGTCATCGTCGAAGTTTTTTGATATTGTGATGATGATTTGCAAAGGAGGTGCATGTATAAAGTTAACAATGAGGGATCATGTAGATTAATCAAAAAGAAGGAAATTCTTAAAAGTATTGCAACTTTATTATAGAATGTAAGATACAATAATAAAAGAAAAGTCGAAGAGTGATATGACTTTTTAGGCCCAATCAACAAAAGAAAAGAAAGGAAAAACAAGTTGGAATGGCAACAAAGACAAACGAGGCTGCAACAATTCGAATGGTCGAAATCAGCAAGAAGAAAACTGGTCAAATCATAGTAAACCCTATAACCAAGGCAACCAAAGAGGTGGTGCTGCAGGTAGAGGAATGAGTGATGGTCGAAATCTGACAAAAGTCACATTCAGTGTTACAATTGTCAGAAGTATGGTCACAATTTTAGTAATTGTCCTGAAAAGCAGAAGAATCAAGAAATTGATGCCAAGATAGAGAAACATGATGAAGAAGATATGTTGTTGATGGTCACATCAAGAGATGAAGAAAGATTCTAGGACCAATGATACTTGGACTTAGGATGCTCATCACACATGACTGATAGGAATGATTAGTTTGTTAACATAAAGTCCTCAATGAAAAATATGGTTACATTTGCAAATGACAATACTGTAGCAGCTAAAGGTATCAGTGATGTTCTAATCATGAGGAAAGATGGGAAAATTTCAGTAATTTCTAATGTGTTATAAATACTAGGCATGAAGATAAATTTGCTCAGTATCAGGAAGTTGGTCGAAAAGAACTATAATGTGTCGATTGAAAACAAGATGATGAGAGTTCTCAACTCAAATGGAAGGTTGATCTTGAAGGCTCCAATGTCTCAGAATAGAACATTCAAGATTGAGCTTAGTGTGATGGAGCATAAGTGCCTTGCAACTGCAGCTAGTAGGGATGAAGGGACATGGCACTATAGGCCTGGCCATCTTAACTTTAAAGACATCAGAGATCTGAAGAGAAGAAATACGGTTTCATGATTACCAGAAATCGACATTCTAAATGAAGTGTGTGAAGAATGTGTGTAGGTAAAG